TGTATATATATATATATATATATATATATATATATATGTGAAATATTTTCCATAATGTTTTTACTGAATAACAAATGAAGCTCTAAGTGTGTTTCTCTAAAATAGCAGAGTAGTTGAGAATAACATTATGTGAAGAAGCTGGAAGAGAGCTAATGGCAGTATGAGATAAATCTTCATTTATCGTAGTATGATACTCAGCCACTGTACTTTTCCCAGTAATCCCCTATATCTCTAAAGTGATCCTCTGCATTGGACTCAAAAGATATTAAATAAAGTGCAGATGGCTAACACAAATACAGCTCCCAGAGCCCTGCATCTCTTTATAATTGTTATAAACAATGAGACAAACTTATCATTTTGCAGCTATCACCAAACTGTGAACCTGTTAGAACTGTTATCATAATCAACTTAGTCTCTGATACATAGCCTGGAGTTTGGAATCTAAGATACAATCGGATTTTACTAAACACTTGGCTGTAATATTAAATGACTGGGGGACATAATTTAATAGATCTATGTCTAGCCTATCAATATAAAGAAAATCTTATTTAACTTGACAGAAAACAAAACAATAATCACAAGTAGGCTTTCTAATAAATAATAATCATTATATTGTGTAATTTTAACTAAAAGATTTTTGAAAAGTTGAATTATCAAAAGCACAAATCTTCAACATACTTTCTGAGTTTTCCTTATAGTAGGTGTCATGTCCTTAAAGTAGTCAGGTTCCAGCTGCTCCAAGGCATTCTGCTGTGTGGCTGCATTTCCATTCCCGCCTTCGATCTTCACACTTGTGGGAGCATCTTCATCCCAGGACGTCCACTCTTCCACATCTGTCTAAATTTAGTTGATCAACACTGTCAGCCACAAAGGGGCAACCTGATGAGCTCATTAATCAACTATTTGAATTAATTAATCAACTATTTGAAAAATGGGCTTTTTAAAATACTACTCATTTTCAAACTTTTTTGACCCACAGAAAAACACACATTTCAAATTATACATCAAAACTAAATCAAAATTTTAAAAAATATTTTCACTGTGGGTTACACATTCTGTTATATTCTAGTCTCTTCTACTTTGTAATACACTGACGATGTTTATTTTAAAAAAATGAAAGCAAATACTTTGGAAATTGAACTGATATTATAATTTTAGCTCACAACTAAAAAACTTCTGCCTAACCAAAGTGATTGCTTGATAAAGCAAAACAAAACAATAAACATTCTCCACAGCATTTATACAAGACAGCCTCTCAAAACATAACATTCAGAATGCTCATAAACAATCCAGAACTAACTATTCAGCAATCTTAATTCACGTGGATAATAAACAGACATCAACCACTGGATGACATATATGTTAGAATTATCTTTTAATTATAAAATATATAAAATAAAATATATAAATATAAATATATATATATATAAT